ACAGACAGACAGACAGACAGACAGACAGACAAAAATTCTAAAAACTATAGATTCGGACTCTGTATCGATAATAATGTCTATTTCAATTAGATTTCCCAAAAAATATTTAATGTACAGATTCGACTTAATTAGAATTTTATTATGTGTATATATAGACTAATTGCGCTATAAATTCTCTATGACTAATGCATGCAATGAAAACTAACGAAGAGTTCTAGTCATGTAGTAGTACTAACTAGATTACTGCCTCTGTGCGGAGATCTTGATTCTTCAAGGCCACAACAGTATTAAAGTATAGATGTATATATAATACGTGAGTGATGTAGCGCTAAGAATTATTTAAATTTGAATATTCCTTATATTTGAATAAAACAACATAGATGTTTTTTAATAAAAAAAACCATGACAACATTTATTAATACTAATATACCACATAAATATTAATTTTATCAGTTTTCTTTTATGAAAATTGATTTTATATTTGAGAAACCATATTAAGTCAGTTAATGGTTAAATCTGATGATATTTTACTACGCATCAAAATAAAGGGTTATAATTTTTATGGCAATGGTATTTATTTTATTTATTGAACTAGCATTGCCCGCAGCTCCGCCCGCTTTCAGATGACCAAAAACCAAATTCTTAGGTTTTACATATTAGTATACTCTTACATTGCAGTTTTTGTATTTTTTCTCAGAAATGAGACATTTTCCCGCGGTAAAAAGTATCCTATATGTTGACCCGGATAACCAGCTATCACCATACCAAATTTCACCAAAATCCTTTCAGTGGTTTTTCCGTGATGCGGTAACAGACAGACAGACATATATTTTGTATTTTAGTAATGATTAATAATCTAACGAAATGTAGGTAATTTTTGCAACAAAATAATGTCTCGCAGAAACCACTTGATTTTGACGCTCTTAAGCGATCTTATTGCAAAATTCGGCGTCGATTCTCTGCGGCTTTTAAAAGAATGTCAAACTTGTTTCTATATTATCGCATTAGTAAGGATATGATTAGTACCTACTAAAATATTACGCCAGAGGTCACAATTTCGATTCCCGTAGAAGGAAAATAATTTAGATAGCCCTGTTTAATAAAAATATTTAAAATTGAGTACCAATACCCAATACGTCTTGTCTTGGCTATGTCAAGTGGAAATCTTTAACAATCTACTACAAAATGAAAGAAACCTAGAGGCAATCCTATTCCAGTGTAATTAAAAATCTCTGCGACATACTTAAGGCTTGTAATTCTATTTACTATTGTCTTCTATGATTGTTACACATGTGTAGATCAGATAATTATATACAATTAAATAACAAAAGATAAGGAAATATCCTTACATCGTTAACATTAACATTTTGATTAGAAAAATTAATACCGAATGAAAACGCGAATTATAAAGTAAAATTAAATACCTATAAGATTAAAAATTTATAAATTATTCATATAGCTCGTAGTTTATATAACAATGAATGGATCTTGATTTACAAAAATTGGGTCAAACCTCATGTTATAGATCGAAAGGTTGTAATCGAAAATAAAGAAAATGCTGTTGATTATTTGTCTTTCATTCGGAATTAAAAAATAATTATCCGAGCGAAATTTGGGTGGTTTATCTACACTATAATTTTATAAATGAGAAAGTATCTCCTTTCACGCTTAAACCACTTAACAGATTTCGATAAAGTTTTGGCAAGGACATAGATTACCGCTTGGCTACCCTTGAACCCCGACCGGCTTATCATGCGAGCGAACCCGAGGGCAAAAACTAGTCATTAATAACTGGGACTATTGCATTGTTGTAATAAAAAATAACCCAAACCTATCTGGTCATATTATTTGGTGCAAAGTAAAAAATAAAATATTTGGGAATATTTCTGCGTCATGTTTAAGTTAGTGTGGAGATATTTAAATAAATCTATCTAGATAGTTATATTTAAAATGTCAAATATGTGCGTAAATCTAAGAGAGTTTAGTGTGGAGATAGTTAGAGGGCTGGAGAGTGACATAGGCTACTGTATAGGCTCTTTACCGAGGGAGATTATCTCATTCCCACGGAAAAACACGTTATAATACAACTCAAAAAAATATTTATGATCAGAATTACTTGAAACTTGGTATTAATGCTCTTCGATGCAATTAAATAAATACGTGTTTTAGTATTTTTCGAAATTCATCCCATGAGAGGAGACGAAAGTTTGTATGAAACCTACTTTTTTAGTTTTTTTGTGGTTTTAGCGCGAGTGAAGCTGCAGATTTTGCTAGTAATAAAAAAATAATTCTCACCTGAAAATATTTAAGGCACTTTTGGTCTTGTGTATTTCAACTGAAACCTTATATTTGAACTGTCAATATCTCAAAAATCTTTATAACACGATAGGTAATTTTTTAAGCATAGAAAAAGTCATTTAGCACAAATATTCACACTAGCCGTATCAATATTTACTTTGCAATTAATGTTAGAAAAAAAAAATAGTGTGGTAGATTGCCAACCATTACGAATCATATAAACAAGTCATATGTAAAGAACAGAGCGTTATGTTCAATATGACGCCATTTTTGTCTGCTTCATAATGATAATATTTAAATATGTATTTAATTTAACAATTTTTTTAATGTTCTTTATATTTGAGATTCTTTGACAAAAAGTTGAAATTTGATAAATGGCAAGTAGGTATCAGATGTGGTATTTTTTTTTTTTTTATTGTCGCTCGACAAGATGACTCCATGACGCCTGATGGTAAGCGACAGTGGAATCCAGAATGAGATCCATCGGTTCCGAGACTTGATCTCGATTCCGATCAACCTCACCTCGTCGGCCTGCAAATGTGCTTTTTCACGCTCCGTTTAAACGACCCAGGATTATAGGAAGAGTTTAGTTTGATTTCTATAAAATATCTTGTTCACTTATACTATAACTAATATACAGCGATAAAATTTGATTGTAGGTAGAGAGTAGAGATAGGGTAAAAGTTCGCACTAGAACGATTGTAAAAGATTTTCTACTAAATGAAAGCTTTTATATTGCAGTCGATGCATGGACTTTATCAAAGTATCTTGCTAGCGGAACCGTGGATGCAAAAAGGATTTCTCAAATCTTATAGTCAACTCCAGAGATTAACGGTCTTAAGCTAATAAAAAAAACAAACAAACTGTTCAAATTTATAACATTGATATAGATTATTAGCACATTCTGTTTATTTTAATTGGCAATAAATTTTCTAACGATGTTTGTAGATTGAATGTTTTAAATCTTATGCACTAGCATTATAAAAAAAAAATAACATAATTACAAAATTCATCTAATGTGATGGCGTAAAATAGAAGGTCAAGTGAGGCGAAACTATTACAAGTTCACAGATTGCATTTTTAAAGCAAAAATATATTTATATTTAAGCTCAATAAATAGATACTCTACAGAACTCGTATAAACTATTTCGTAACTGCAAAGGAAATGATATGATAGACCACCACAATTAGAGGTTAAGCTTGGCTTGGAAAAAATATGCGCTTAGTTATAAATAATTATATGCTTTTAAAATGCAAAATTTTGCATGCTTGATATACTTTGCACTTTATTTCGTAATATTTCATAACTTTAATCTATATTAGCTATGTAGTGTGCTAGCGATGTGTTGAACGATGCCGATGGCAATGAAGGCTTTATTTACTTTCTCTACATAAGTATGTCTATTAGATACCTTAATTGTTTGTGTTATTATATTATATTTTATGAAACTTAATTCGATTGCTGTTGTTTTATCTAATATAAGCAAAAAGCAAGTTCTCCCGCGTGCGAAAAATGTATGCATATCTCGCTTCCGGGGAATCCCATATACTTTTTAATTTGTCATATTTAAAGGTTTTTTTTTTATTTAATCATTTATTTCAGGAAATATTTACAAAAAGATCTTAAATATGTAAACAGAGGCCCATAGCATAATATATACCTTAAAACTAACATATATAAGGCCTAAAAATGCTTTTTAGCTACTATGTTATGATAAAAATAGGCTGTTAAAATTGTAGCTCTTCTACTTCATTGGTTCGGTCTGAACGATTAGGAGTCAGTCATGACAAGTAACTTTATACATACTTATATGTATTTTATAGATAAGAAAATATAGTATGGAGCAGTGGTATTTATTTAACTGATGTTACTGATAAAGACGATAGTAATACCATAGTACCGGGTTCAATTATCGCACAGGATAAATATTTATATTACACATATTTTTAATATCGTTCTTAAACGACTTGCAATACAAAACCAATACAACTATTTAATGTTTATTTACTTATCTTTTATATTTATATTATTATTTTATTATATATATTTAAATATGTAATTATACTTATTACTTTATAAAATATATGTAGTAGTTTTCAACTTTTATTTTAGCCATAACTGTATATATTTAGTTCATTTATTTTTCTTTGATTAATGTTTAAGATGCAAATGCAAACATTATAAAGCAAGTGAGGATTTGATTTTACGATTTTATGACTGAGTGATAAGTAAACCAATCATATGACGCTCCTTAAGTAAGTGGTAATAAAAACTACATAAAATACTTTATTACTAGCATTCCATAAAGCTTATGGATGGAGGTTTTTTTTATAAACTATTTTATCATATTATCTCTACTTGTATAGTCATATCAAATAAAACTTTTACGAACTTAATTTAAGGAACAATATAAAATATGTACATATTTGTACCTATTTACTATTGTATCTATACTGTATAAAAAATCTGTATTAATATTTTTGCGCTCAGCCTCGTTATTGCTTTTATATAGGATTTTGAATGAAATTAATTAAAAAAAATAATGCTCTACTACGAACAATAAAAAATAACATTAACAAGCAACAGTAGCGTTTTCATTAAGTTAAAAATTCAGGTTAATAAGAATGTAAATTAAAATTAATTTATTCTTGATAAGGTTTTCATTAATAATTAATATTAATTAAAAAACATAAAAACTTACTTCTTCAATCTTCAATTAATCCACTGGAATAAATTTCATTTATAAACACACAATAAGCACGAGTAGACGCGATCGAGCGACAGGCATGCGACTGCGCAGCCCACCTGGTACGCAGTGTCAGATTAATTTTGCGGTAAATCATCAAACGATGAGTACTATCTCTATATATCTTATATATATATATATATATATATATATATATATATATATATATGTCGTGTTATCCATATACTACGAACATCATCTTTGGTGGTTACTCATCTCGTGGGCGTTATCAGGGCTCAAATAATAAAGTATTCAGTGCTCAATACACAATTTAATCAGGGAAGTCACAATGTTATAAACTTGAAACGGTAATTCTAATGATTTAGAGCTAGCGGGTTCACAGTCACCGATCATCGACTTCCGACTACAATATCAAATATAACTCTCTATGATCAACCAACATTACTAAGCCACGTATCTCCAAAGAATGTCGTGATGGCGTCTCGACCCCGCTCGAGACTAAATCTCTGCTCTAAGTTCAAAAACTATTTAGAAGCAATAAAAAGTAAATTAAAGAACATGGTGACTTTAAACAATAATAAGGTTTCATAACAGAAAAAGGTAACTAAATCCTCCTCCGTCTTATATATATATATATATATACTTGAAGACTACGTTTTAATATTATATATCTACAACAAAATATTTAATGGATTATCCCATGAAGTTGAAAAAAACAAATATTTTACAAGCTATTTCGAAATCACATTTAAATGTCACGCTGTATTTAACGTAAATATATTAGGTCTTTAGATAATAGATTAGAGTGACAATTTTTAAATTTTATTGTAAATATTTTTCGGCGTATCTTTGAAGTTTGTAAAGTTAGAAGCTTTAAAATGACAACTGTTGAGTTTTATATCTTATGCATTTCTGCATTACCATCGCCCTCTCAATTTTTAACTCTAGATTAATCTATCTATGCAACCTATATGTTACTTTTTCCCAATAATTTGTATTAGCATATTTTCTATGTCTTTAATATCTCCAGGTAAATTTCTAAGAAATTAATTAAATTTCTAAGAAATCTATTGTTATCGGCATCTCCGTGGTCGTGGTGGGATTAAAGTCAAAACATCAATTAATCTGAAGGTTTTTGAAGGAAAAAAATAATGAAATCATTACCAGGAAAAGTCACAGAGAATATTAAGGTAAAACTGAAACATAAATATTTAAGTACTAGCTCAAAAGATTATTATGTTTAAATTTATAGTATCTACTTACATATATTTGTCATAAGAAATATAAGAATATCTTTATGGAATATTTCTTTGAGTTTAAAGAAAAGTAATGTTTTCGTTAAACAATTTTCATTGTGTGGTGAAATATATATTGGAAAAGATACCATGATTTTAATTATAAAATAAATTTCCACCTCTAAACCAATAAAAACTATTTTTACAGGAGGCTATTTAAAAACATGAAGGATAATTTATACTTATACTTCATACTAATATGATTATATGATTACAGTTTCTTAGTTCCTGCTATATTTTTAAAAACTTCTTCTCACCTATTTTTACTTAATAACTGATTTGAGTATTTGACTGTAGGCTCTTATAATATAGTAGATATAAATATGGACGGAATACTTGATATCGCTAACATATTATTATCCGTTCGTATCTACTATTTGTTCACATATTTTCGTAATAACCATAAACCAACATGGTATTGGTATTGTATGTGCAATACACGTGATATATATAAGCTTATAAACGGTTTTTTTTACAAAACTAGTGACTCACCCTCGCTTCGCTCACGTTCGTCCCTAGGTACGTTTTGACGCTTAGTATGGAATATATATATTTTTTTCAATTTTTGTTCGTGATTTTTCCGATATTTTAAAAGTTTGCTATTCGGGGCAAAGACAAAACCAACAAAAAAGTTTATCAAAATCGGTCCAGCAGTTCTTGAGTTATAAGTGTTGTAACAAACCCGACTTTGTTTTATATATATAGATTTATGCAAGTATCACGTTAATGATTAGTAACTTATTCTTTGGTTTCATAAGTAACATTCTCAAAGGCATAATACAAATATAAATAATAATACACGTGTGAGTATTTTTTTATTTTATATTGCTTCCAGCCGCTGGATATGATCTATGTTTATATGACATTACACAGTAATAATGGCCCTCTCCTCCCGACCGATTTTGGCTACGGCGTCAATCTCATTGAGACTAGCCATCTGCGCAAGAGATATTGTAGTGCACAAGTATGAACGCAAACACAAGTGCACTCTCTATTCCTGTCACTCTCATACTCTAGTGGGACGACTACTCGACACGACCAGTGAGAGTTACGGCGCAGGACCGATGGCTTTACGTGCTCTCCGTCCTCTCGTGAGCACGGGAGTGAAACACCGCTAACTTCCCAACTCTGGGCTGTTACTGTGACTTCCTGAACAGAAACACTCAATAGCTAAATTTGGCTCGACCCGGGCCTCGAACCTAAGTCCTCGGGATGTGCAGCCGTACATGCTAGCTACTACACAACCGAGGCAGTTATATATAATATAATATAACTAAGATATTAGTGTTTCTTCTACTTAATTTATATTAAAGAAAAGGGAAAATCAACCATTCATCGTTGTCACGTTATAATACGTGGGTAAACAAACCGACCACCAAAAGCTGTTAGATGAGTTGGTTATAAAAATAACGATAAACAAACATACCCATTAAAATTTTATTATGTAACAATCATACAAGAATTTAAATTAAATTAACTTTATTCAATCACGTGTTAAATATATTTATAATAATAAATTGTTTACATAATAACGTACATAGGTGCTAGGTAGGTATATAATTTAACCCCTGGCTCTATTTTTATTTACTTTTGGGATAACCATTTAATAAGTCTTTTTTACCTTAAACTAGCAACTCACTCTCGCTTCGCTTCGGGTTCGTCTTTCGACAAAAACGAATCTATCCTACGGGAACTACATATTTTTCGGGATGATATTATAGCTTATAACCTTCGTCAAAAAACGGGCTGTCTAATGCAAAATACAATTTTTCAAATCGGATTAATAGTTCATGAGATTAGCGCGTTCAAACAAACTAACAAACAAACAAACTCTGCATCTTTATAATATTAAGCATGGATATTTATTAAAACAGTAATAATGTACTGTAAATAATTGTGCATGTGACGTATTCAAATTATAAAGAGTGATAAAATATTTGCATACATATGATTTTTCTTAGTAATTGAATGAATGGAATGGAAATGGGGAAACACTTTTTTTTTTTCAACTTAACTTTTTTGCTATGGATTTTATTCTTTGTTTATGGAGCTTAACTGAATGAAACATTAGCCACATATAAACCACTAGATAATAATATCTTATATGGTTGTTTTAACTATACCTTGATAATTGGTACCACCCATACCATTCATCTGGGCGGTATCGAACCTGCGGTATTCAACCTATTAGGCAATAAGTAAATTCATCGTAATGAAAATAAATTTAAAATTCTTACAATTGAGATTCTATCGAGATAGATTTATTAATTTATATAAACAACATTTTCACGCAATTTTCCACGTGAGAAATCTTGTAGTTTGCTGTTACTATTACATTGCATTGTTATTTGCTGCACGTGACTCTTTTATTAGAAAAGCCAGTGAACTGTCTAGGACTTTTATATATAAACACTACACCATATTATGTATATATCTTCCTCGTTTATTTTGTACAATACGTTTTGACGGTTAATATAGATGTCTCAGAGATTAGATATTTTCCCGCAGTAAAAAGTATCTTTTATGATGACCCGGATAACCAGCTATCATCATACTAAATTTCATCAAAATCTGTTAAGTGGTTTTCTCGTGATGCCTTCCCAGACAGGCAGACAGACAGACAGAAAAAAATTCTAACAACTATAAATTCGGCCTCTGTATCGATTATAATGACTATTTAAATAAGATTTTCTATAAAATCTATACATATAATAAAATTGTAACTAAGCCGAATCTGTACATTAAATATTTTTTTTGGAAAATCTGATTGAAATAGACATTATTATCGATACAAAGGCCGAATCTATAGCTTTTAGAATTTTTGTCTATCTGTCTGTCTGTCTGTTACCGCATCACGGAAAAACCACTGAAGGGATTTTGATGAAATTTGGTATGATCATAGCTGGTTATCCAGGTCAACATATAGGATACTTTTTACCGCGGAAAAATATCTCATTTCTGAGAAAAAATACAAAAACTGCAATGTAAGAGTATATTAATATGTAAAACCTAAGAATTTGGTTTTTGGTAATCTGAACGCGGGCGAAGCCGCGGGCAAAGCTAGTATGTAATAAACAGATGCGACTCGATTAGAATTTTATTATTACATATGTATAGATGTACTAAAAAAAAAAAAAATTTGACAACGTCAATACAAAATTTATTGTGTAATCGAAATTTATTTTAAAATATATCCAAAAATAACATTAATAATTGAATTAATAGTATAAAAAATGTTTTAAAACACAACAAAATCGAAAGTGCATAATATTTAACACCATTCAAACAAAGAAAGACAATAGCATTCCCAAGGAGGGTTGACGTCAGGCAGGCGTGAGGCGGCCGGTCGTAAAACTTTTGCCAAATCCTATCAGCAGTACACTGAAGATGTACTGCGCCGACCCCAAGTGATTTGGGAAATGGGCAGGGAGAAGAAGAAGAAGAAGATATGTATAGATGTACTAAGTACTTTGAATGTACATACATATGTTAAATTTAATTCCTTCATAATGATATATCGTAGGCACCCTTGCTGAGCGAGATATTCCAGGTTCTATAAAATCGTGTATACATGTAAGAAATTATTTTGGTAATAATAATATTAGATTATTATAATTTTTATACTTCCAACAACTAATCCTTTTAAAAGACCGAATTTTGAAAACGCTGTAATATAAAAACCCAGTTTACTAGAAAAAAATATCTATATCAACTACGTCGCACGTTTACACTTATTTTAAGGACTAATTTTAAGAAATCCTTTCATAGAATAAATCTGTCAAAATTTAATACAGCGATTTCTTCTGAGTGTTATGGACCAGTAAGGGGAAGAAACCATACATATATAGATGAGTCTATAGACAGTAGACTACCAAAGTTTCGAGAAGTTTCTTAGAGATGGTTCTTAACGTCTTGCTTCATTAACTAAATCAGAACAAACAATAAGATCAATACCGACTTTCTTCTCATACTATAAACATATCTAAAACTTTCGACGCATTAGGCAATTCGACTTAGATACAGATATGTACAGTCGTTTTTCATCACAATTAGGATATTGCTAATTATTTACATTTTTTTAATTGGCTACTATTATAAATGCAAAGTTTGATGTGCGTGTGTATGTTTGTTGCTTCTTTATGATCAAACGGCTGGAATAATATGGGCTTTTTCAATACGTACAGCAAGTAGACTTCTATTGAACCCAGTATAATAATCGGTTCTTATGACATGTTATCTCTGCAAAAAGCTTAACGGCGTGCCTTACCGTAACAAGAGTGGATAACAAGTGTCCATTAAATATTATATTCTCTGAGCCAAAATATATAAATAAATCGTTAAAAGAAAAACATCCAAATGAATGTTTTATATAGCATTGCGTTTAATGACAAATACGAGTATTTTTCTAACAACAGCTATCATTTGTTCTTCCAGCAGTAATCCCACTGATAAAATATCTTTCAATGTAAACACTTAAATAATATTTACCGTAAGTATAGCTTATACAGCACTAATACCTTTTTATATGGATTTTTAAATATATATATATATATATAAAAGCCCGTAAAATATGCAAATAAAATATAAAATATTTCAAATAATCTTTATTTTGCTGTCAATTAATTTTTTTTATCCATTCACATCTATTCCACAAGAAAGAACCCTGTTCTTTCTCTGAGTAAAGAAATATATGTCACTAGCCCAAAACCTATTGTAGCGAAAATTAACGTTTTCTAGATGAGTGGAATAATTATTTCATAGTACGTGCCTTAGTTTTAGTTAAGTAAGTTATTTTTTGTTTAAAAATATATAAAATATTTGAAATACAAATTATGACGAAAAGCGCCTGGTAATATAAAAAAGCAACATTTCATATACAACTTTTAGCCCCTTTAAATATTTAGGTTTTAAGTTAGATATAATGTTGCTAAAGATTTTCATTTAAGTACCAAGTTTCTCCCAAGAACCATGATAATTATCCGGAAATAGCTAAAAATATTTTTATAATTTTCTGTTTTTTTTACACAAAAAAATGATTGATGAGTTATAAAGATATTTTATAATGTTTTATCACAAGAACTAAGAGGGTTACTCTACGAATGGAGAAGACATCTAGAATATAGTTAACTGCTTCTGTATTATTGTAAAAAATCATAGAAAGTTCATGTTCATGTATTAAATATTTTTTAGAAATCAAATTACGTATTGCACAAACTCAAATTTTCTAAATAACACAAAATACAAAACATATTATTATCATTTGTAACTTTGTATTAAGCTATTTGTACGCATAAAAGGTAACTTTTTAACTCAAAAGTATTTTATTTTTTAAATTACCAAGTAAATAGAAAACATAATTTTGGCGATTTTACTATAACTAATAGTTTTTTCCAGTCAACGAGTCAATTGTGCGCTCTTTTTTTGAGGACTTACTGTATATCTGTGTAGTTTTTGTATATTAATGCTTTTGTTACTTAAAACGATCAGGAGAGCATGAGGAAGTTAAAAAATAGTATGGAGGTATTTGCCGTGTAATTGTAGCATGTTTTATGTAATGTAATAAAAAAAATATTCCTGTATAAAATTTATTTACTAGTAATCATTGTTTTGCTTTATGATCAAATGAAAATCGATATTAATTTTCGTATCCGTAGAAAATAAAAAAAAACTGTTTACCACTGCATCAAACTTTACTTGGCCTACTTGACGTACTTCCGATTTCTGAAATACTTCCATATAACACTAAACATTAAATATATTAATCTGTGGATATAGGAGAATGGTCATGCTTTGGATGCACAACTTTCTTTTCTGCATCTTCTTTTCTTTTTTTGAGAGGTCCATGTTTCCAATTCGAGGGATAGCCATACTTATCAACGTCGTCCCACCATTGCTGTTCACCAGAACCCCAAATCAAATATATAGCATTTGTTCCAATTAAAACGGCAAATATAGTCCAAAAAGCCAATCTCCATTGTTTTAATGTTTGCTGTAAAGTATAAAAATTAATTTTAAATTCAATTTCAACAAATAAACAGCATTATAATAATTTTCAATGCCGAATGTTGTAAAAAAAATAATTTTGGTCTTTTATCATTAGTTAGTAGGTTAGTAGCTCCACGCCATAAGTAGTGTCATTTTTCTTGTGATAGGCAAATGTATATTTATCAGACCTCCATTACTTATTGTAATATATTCGGTTTTTGATCTACATACGAGTATATTTACGATGTGCATTTATTGATTTTAAATATTCTTCTTTTTTATAAAGTTAAAATTTCATTATGAAAATTTATAAACATTACATTATATATTAATATATATTAATTCTATTAATTAAAAAACTTAAAAAAACCGACTTTCAGGCACTAAAATGTAAAAAATAACTAAACGGGGGTTTTCATTTAGAATAGATACCTAATCAGATATTTTTGAAGTCGGTGCCAGCGGACAACATTTTAAGATATGAATATCTAATAGGTAAATATGTATTAGGTGCCAGCCGATGCAAAGCAAATCTAATATATTTCGATACGTAAAACACATATTTACCTATTAGATATTCATACGAGTATCTTAAAATATTGTCGGCTGGCACCGACTTCGAAAATATCTGATGAAAGATTTTTAATAACATGTTCGATTAAGTAATTTATTTAAAAAAAATATATTTATTTGTTGATTTAAAAAAAACCGCTTGACCGATTTCGATAAAAATTATATGGGACCACCTGGGAAGCTACTACCCTTTGAAACGAAAAAAAAATTTCCAAATCGGTTCAGGCGTCTTCTTTTCTTAAAAAAAAAAGACTCCGACGAATTGAGAACCTCCTCTTTTTTGGAAGCACATATTACAATAATACTATTAATAATATATAATACATTTCTAAAGTTATTTTCTTAGCACAACTATAAAATATTTGCGTTTAATTATTGCATTAAACGTTAAGTTAATGGTGTACGATATTGAATCAGGTAGTTCATTAACTTTAAGTAACAACTGTGTATAGGAAATTAAATCATTTCCTCGCATCACTTGCCTCATTTTCACCTTTGACCAAACTGAATGAACTCAGACGGAAAATTTAAGTCTCGCTACAACCCGTTACTAAAACAATGACAATGAGGCTTATACTCTTTTAACGCAAATATCGATTTTGTTTTTTTTTACCCAAAAGAGGTCAGTTGAGTCAGTTGAGTCTGATCAATTATAAGATTTTTTATTGAGGTAATTGTTAGATGCTTGTTTATCTGGTAAGACGTAGTTTAATATCAAAAATAACGTACGCACAATTTTTTTTGGCACTGGCGTAATATTGTTAAAACATCTATCTATATAATATATAATAAAATTGTAACTAAGCCGAATCTGTACATTAAATATTTTTTGGTAAATCTTATTGAAATAAACATTATTTCGATACAGAGGCCAAATCTATATTTTTTTAGTATTTTTGTCCGTCTGTCTGTTACCGCATCACAGAAAAACCACTAGAGGGATTTTGATGAGGCATGGTGATAGCTGGTTATCCGGGTCAACATATAGGATACTTTTTACCCTGGAAAAATATCTCATATCTGAGAAAAAATACAAAAACTGCAGTGTAAGAGTATACTAATATGTAAGTAAAACCTAAGAATTTGGTTTTTGGTCACCTGAACGCGGGCGGAGCTGCGGGCAATGCTAATTTACATACTCGTATAAGAAGTCGCACTTTCTTAATTATCTTGTTAAAACATTACAATAATTGTTTAAAATAAAAAGTCAGTTTCGAATAAATATGATTTGAGGAAAATATAAAAAATACTGAGATGCGACAATACTTACATCAGGTGTCAATAGACCAATCATATAAGGTGTAATTATTCCAGATACGGCTGCCAAACCGTTTGCAAAAGCCGAACAGGTTCCGGCATAGTTAGGAGCTATGTCCATGGCATTGATCTTCACACTACTATAGAATCCCGCCATAAAAGCCATGGATGCCACGAATAAGCCCACCGCTTGAATACGATCGCAGCCCGAATACGAAGCCAGAATAATAAAGATGGCTGGTAATGTAGAGGCTGAGGAAAAAATAATGTTCCGTGAGCGTGATAAATTCAGGGACATATTTTATTAAAGCCGCAAATCGTGAAAACGAGTAACATTGCGAGCAAAAAAGGTTTATTGTTTCCGATTGAAAAAAGTAGATATTTGCATCAATAAGTTTTTATAAGGAAAAAAAAATAATGTTGCCCTGAAAGATACTTATTTTTTTTATAATACTTTCTTAGATTTACGCGAATATTTGACATTTTAAATAAAACTATCTTTTCGGATCATGTCGCGGACTTATTTATTTTTATTTTTGGTTCCCGAAGCTTCGAATACCTTACAGCAAACTTGGTTACAGGAGAGACTATATATATATTTTTTATAGTTTTACTTAGATATTACTGTCGTTTGCTTTTTAATAATATGAAAAGGAACATAATCTGTCAACATGAGATTTTTGTACTCGTATATTTTATCCAACAACCTAATTTTAAAATCCGTTGATAATGATATAATAATATTCGTAGAAGTAAAATATTATAAGATTATATTTTATTATACTTATGGTAATTGCATTATAATATAACACTCGCAGTAATTATTTAAACCATACTTACAAACGGTGGTATAAATTTTTCTTCCAGTAGTGATACTATGCCATTTCCTACGAATGCAAAAGTCGCAGAAGCTCGCAAAAACAAAAGAAAATATATACATTGCAATATATGGAAGGGCTGCCATAAGTCCAGTGTCTTTTATATTGAATTTCAGAACGTCTGAGAAATATTTAGGTAAATCTGTTATCATTGTAAAATATCCCCAATCGTGACCAATCTGCAAACAATTAAGCAATTTTATATCTTATAACTGGGACTTTCACCAGTTAGTCTTAACTGATTAAATGCGTTTTAATTTGTTTATATTAAACCCATAGATTTTTAGACTTAAGCATTCAGTGTAAACTCCGAAAATGAATAATAAACATGAAATGTGGATCTCAAAAAAAGTGCCACCTACCCGGTGCAACATTACGTAACAAGCATCCAGATGATCAATGATGATCAGATGATGATGAAAAACTTTTTGTTAATTGCCTCGGTGGTGTAGTGGCTACCATGTGCGGCTGCATACCCGGAGGTCCTGGGTTCGAGTCCCGGGTCGGGCCAAGTTTAGTTATTGAGTCTTTCTGTATAGTAAACCTCAGTAACAGCCCGGAGTTGGGAAGTTGTTTCACTCCCGTGCCTCGGAGAGCACGTAAAGCTATTCATTTCTTTAACAACAAAAAGGTTATCAAAAAGTAAATGTATACGAACATTGAATTATATCTTGTACATTATTTAAATATGCAAGTACTGTTCGAGTTCACGATCGTTCGCAAGTGTTTAACAAACGGCCAAAAGACGTGACGGAGCACAATATATTGTAAAATGCAATATGTTTTATTTAAATGGAAGTACTAATAAGATGGAACTCTTCTAAATCTGATATGTAGACTAGAACTTAGATAATCTAACTAACAGAAATTAGATTCTCTTGAACAAGATAAAATAGGAAGTGAATAAAAGCTATACCTACATATAATAAAATTGTAACCGATCGTTGTCTGTATATGGAATATATTTGAGACTATTATTACGAGTCTTAATTTACGCAATAGAATCCAATACAATGATTTTTAGAATGTTTGTCTGTTTATATTTGCGTTTGTGCGCGCTAATTTCAGAAACTGCTTAACCAATTTGGGTGTGGTTTTTGCTAATCTATTGTAGTAAGCTTCACTTAATATTTAGTATTTTTATTTGATAAATACAGTCGATACTAAAATAAAAAGCTGTGTCAATTTATCACCTAGGGGCGAACCCGAGTGGAGTGAGGGTGAGTCGCTAGTAAAATCTGAAACTAGCAAAATATTAGTTATTAGTTTTAAGCAAGAAAAAAATAAGGAAGACATTATTTTAATTATTTATTTATCTTTTAATCTAACCTAGTATAAAAAAGTTTAAAAATATATTCATTGGTTTACGCTTAAAGATAGAATATCTTTGAAATTCGTATTTGAGTAGAAATTAATAAAAAGTAAATCTTCTCCTCCTCCATTAATAAATAATTTGACATTATATTAAAAATTGAGAGGCCCTTGACTTTCTCGGCAAAAATTTTAAATTCGAGATTTTCCTTTTCAGTTATAAAAAGATGTTATTTTTAAATTTTGTTTACTACGGATAGATCAATTATTCAAGGTTTTAATCAAGCTGAAAAAAGCAGTGGTAACCTTGTGTTATTGTGCTTGCTTGGGAAACCAAGTTAAGTGGGTTCAAATTTCAGGTCTCGCATCGCAAAGCTGTAATCGCAAGCTGTAATCGTATTTCCAATATGATTACAGCTTGCATGCAAGGGAACCTAACCTGCATGTCTGAAAGTGGAGGCCCGGGCTTAGCAATGGAGCGTTAAAAAGGGGTGAAGACACCTACATATTGTACACTCATGAAGTTGACTTCCTATAAAACGCTACTATAAAATCAGAAATAGATATCAGAAAAACATGTTCTTACCGTTTCTAAGTTTTAGATATTTATCTTATTTCTATTCCAGCAGAAATTAAGTAAGTTATTTTAAAAATGTTTCTATAATTTCCATAGGTAGAGTATATAGGCTTCGCGGTCGAAAGCACAAGCGATCCCGTGGCCCTGTCTCTTGCGATTGGGATCACCGTGGTGGTTTTTGTGGGTAGTCAGTTCAGCTTCTCGCAACAGGAGTCCCACATACCCCCGCGCACGGGCACCCAAAGCAAAGGCAAAGGGGTTTCCCCACTAATAAAAAAAAATGTAGAGTAAATGGCTACTTACAGCAGCTATCACAAGTGACCATAAAGGTGCTGATCGCAGGATGGCTTTGAACGGCACAGGATCCAATTTCTTATGCAGACCGGAAGCTGTAATATTTGCGTTTAAGTATTGCTTTTCCTCGTCCGAAATAAATGGATGCGCGTTCGGTGTACTATAGCAGAGGAGAGTCTGAAATTGTTGAATTATTTCTTATCGCATATTTATATATATGTATATATATATATATATATATATTGCTTATGACCTAAATATTCTAATGTTATATTATGATAAATTGCTTCACAAAAATTAATTTGTGACAAATACATATATTATTATAGACTTAATAAAAAAAGTAATTGAAAATACTTACAAAGAATATGAACCATATGACGCCCAATCCTCCAAACACATAAAACACATTAGCCCAATCGCCACCGTCAGCTAACATTAACCCAGATATGTAGGGTCCCGCAATATTACCTACTTGGGCCCCACCAAAGATCATAGCGCCGAAACGCGACCGCTCAGCCGGTGGCACCCATCGAGCCATTAGCAAAACAAACGCGGGTGTTACAGGACCCTGAAATAATTCAAATTATTATCCTTATAATATTACTATTATAAATTAATGGTAAGGGCAGTGGAGCACAGTGGTAGCGCGTTCGTTGGGAAAACCGAGTGAAGAAGGTTCAAATCTCAAATCGTTCTTCTGATATTTTCATGTGCGAATCATTTTCAACATAATTACCACTTTTCTTATGGTGAAAGAAAACGTCCCGTAATAGGCCAGTATGGTAGACTATGGCCTGATCCCCCTCGTATTGAAGGCAGACCCGTGCCCACCAAAATGACTCAATATTTTTGGGTTAAAACAAGAAAGAATATTTAAAAAAAAATGCTTTTCCAAAGCACGGAAATACAATGTGTCATAAATAAAATGTTACAATCATAGGTAAGTAAATCAATCTTTTGTTTCGAGTATATATCTGTGATCACGTGCATTGGCACATACACGTCTATAATTTGGAGTCTAGACCCATTAATATGATGATATTTTTTATATTCCAGTGATTTAAGTAAACATTAATAAAAGCTTTGCAGCAAGTCAAGGAGTTGTATGTACATTGTACATAATATGTATATAAAAACTTGCGTATATAATAAAGGGAAAATGCGATTGTAACTTGTATTTAACAAACTATGTACATAAAGTGGTTGCAAGATATATGTATATATTTTATGATTATATATAAAAGGAATATAGTGATACACATTTTTGAGTTTTGTAGGCAAAGAGCAAAAAAGGGAACCCAGACAATTTCGTTATGTCCGTCCGCCCGTATGTTACAGGCATTTTTGGAGCCACATGTTCTGAAATCCTAAAAAAATGCTGAAAAATGTCGTTATTAGAACTTCCAAACTTACAGCTATGCTCGAAAATAAAATGAGCCTACTTATCGGTCATCGTTAAGAAAATTATGTTAAACTTATATTTTTCATACGCACCTAAAAATGAAACTAAATCGTATACCGTAGCATGTAACATTAAAAATAAGTTTTGTAAAAAAAAGTTTGTTTGTGATGTAACTAAAAATTTACGCTTTTCGGATTTTGCCCTTTACTTGTGCTATAAGACATTGCTTCTTGCCCAATTTCATGATTCTAGTTCAACGGGATGTACCCTATAGATTTTGAAACCCATGCGAGTAAGTCCCGTGTGAGTGACTATATGCGGCGTAAACGGCTGTATCTCTTGATTGCGTTTACTTTAGAAGCTAGAATTTTTCTTAGCTTCAAGGGATTTTAGATTTGGGTATTTGATATTAATTTCGATGTCATACATCTATGCGTTCCTCAGAAAAAAGGATATTGACAGATAGATAGACGGACAATGAATTGATCCTATATGAGTTCTTTTTTCCTTTTAGGTACGAAACACTAAAAATGCCTTATCTAGTACTTAACAAGCAAAATGAAACTAGGATCTTACATCATTAAACCCAATACGGAAGCTTACTCTTCATGACCAACTCGTGCTAGAGCAAATTTCTGAACAGTGTGAGTAACAAAATAATTTTACCTCACCAAGTCCACTTATGACTCTCATGAAAAAAAGTCCTATCGCGCCTCCCATAGCAACAAACCAAGGTGTCAAAAGTGTTGATAAAGAAGTGCAAAGTAAGCTTATTCCAAGTGTCCATTTTCCGCCAAATTTTTCTGCGAGAAGTCCTCCAGGCAAGTGCGTTATAACATAACCGTAGTAAAAAGCACTTAATAGTAAACCTTGCGTACTTTCGTCCCAGTCGTATCGATCTCGAGACTAAAAAGATAAAGAATTACCTATATAAAATTATGATTATTATATTTAATTTTTTATCATTGATTAGTGAGTTTTGATGATTTGATTTGTGTTTTAAAAAAATGTTATGAAAATTTTAAATAAATAAATAAATGTATGTTTCACAATAAGACCGCTTCTACCAGTGGTTTCGTACGTGCACTTATTTCATAACCTCCACAGTCGATGCTCCATCTATAAGAAAACATATTATTATGCAATGATACCTGCCCTTATTGTGCAAATATTCTAAGAATCTAAGCGTTTGTACCTAGTTCCTTAATGGCATATTTTTTCAGTATGCCGCCCTCTTTCAACCTGATGCGATCAACTCTTTTGTTTATAGTACGATCAGACACTGTGACTGCTGAATCCGTGGCCATATTTTGTAGATATACTATACTTGAACTATGTTCGCGGATTTAGCTGTTGTGTTACAAAAAAGCACTTAAAAAACAGGACAGCAGATAGTGATTCCAAGACTGGCTAGATATTATAAGTGTTCACAAACATTACTTCCCAGATTGGTGACGTTTTATGGGACTTTTTAATTTTGACTTCTAATGAGTTAAGTCTGTGTAATATTATACTAAACATCGGCATTGCGACGTTTTCAATTTAATTTTTCCCAATAAATATCTCATGTATACCGACTCCGACACACAATATAAATACAAATCAAAATAAGTCAAAATGATCGGCAAATATCTTTAAAAACTGCATAGTAGCCATTTTTTTTTTTTGGTTTCTATGTCTACAGACCGAAGTGGGTAGAATGAATTGTCGATTACGTGAGTGCACCTAATTGGCTAAGCCCTCTGCATCCTGCATTACGTCAACTTTGTCCCACAATAGTGTTTACTCTAGATGTTTGCCAATATCTAAGCCAAGTTGAATGTGACTACTATCTAAAAACTGACTGCTCACCGAAATAACAAGCGAGGAGTTAGTGGAAGACTGCGTAACAGAAATGGCTTCATCAGGACATGTTTCACCCACGATGTGCTCCCCTGAAGGTACACGCTTCACCATCTGGACTATAGTTATACTCAAGCATACACGCATTGTAAACGAGTTCGCCAACGCGAATAAGCCAAGTAGACCAAAGACATATCGCTGAGGTATAATTAGTGCTGTAAATAATGTTTTTTTTTTTTGAAAATAATAGTTTGATAAAAATTTAATAACTTATTTATATCTTGAATCTTATATTAATATTTTATAAATCCTATTAATATTATAATTTAAAAGTTTATGAAAATACTTGTATGATGGAACCTGAGTGTCTGAGAAATCCTAGCATGTTTCCGAATGATATGTAAAGTCCGCCAGCCTACACTTGGCTAACGTGGTGGACTATATACCTTATCCACCTGAAATTGAAGGGTGGCCCGTACCCAACAGAGGGACGTTAAAAATTCGTCTTTTGAGAAAAGAGGGACGTAAATAAATACAAATATACATACTTATATGCTTCGTTAAACGTAACCATGTTTAACTATGGCGAACGAAGCGTTAAACGATGCTTAACATGAAATTGAAGGATTTCCAAATGTTATTTTTGTTATCTACTTATTTAGCCTCGGTGGTGTAGTGGCTAGCGTGTACGGCTGCACACCCAGAGGTCCTGGGTTCAAGTCCCGAGTCGGACCAAATTTAGTTATTAAGTTTATCTGTATAGTAAGCCTCAATAACAGCCCGGAGTTGGGAAGTTGGCGGTGTTTCACCCCCGTGCCTCGGAGAGCACGTAAAGCCGTCGATCCTGCGCCTTAACTCTCACTGGTCGTGTCGAGTGATCGTTCCACCAGAATGTGAGAGTGACAGGAATAGAGAGTGCACTTGTGTCTGCGCGTACACTTATGCACTATAATATCTCCTGCGCAGTTGGATACTCTCTATGAGATTGGCCGCCATGACCGAAATTGGTCAGGAGAACATCATCATCACGAGTCTCTTTAAAATATCACATAATATAATTCAAAGTAAATAATTCTATAAAGATATTACTTACCTTTATTTAATATAAGCCTCCATCCCGTTAAAGTCATAATTAACAATTAATCTAAAGTATATAAATCACTGAACTGCACATACACGAAACTACTTTGATATGTATATTCTGAAATAGACTTATAAAATGATTAACCATATGTCATTGTTTTTCATGTACATATGTATAGGTTTTAAAATATCAAAATGTGTCACAAAAACAAAACGACTGTATCACATTTTGGGAGAGGCTAGTTATTTATCTAAACGTCATTGAGATTATTGAAGGGTACCAAAACACAATCGCATTAAGATGACACTATCACTGTTAAACAACAGAATCTCTTACAGTAATAGAATATAAGAGATAAGAATCAGCACGTATACGTAATAGACTAGCGACTTACACTTGCTTCGCTCGGGTGCGTCCGTAGGTAAGTTTTAATTTATTTGAGCGGAACCCTTTTTTTCAAAAATAAAAATAAATGTATTATAAAAATTAAAAAACCGACTGCATAAAAGCTAAATAAAAAGATGAAAACAAGTTCACGAAGGAATATAGTATTATGCAGTCGGAGACATACACGTTTCATCCTTGCCGCGAGATGTACATACTCGTATGTATGTCTCCGACTGCATAATACTATATTCCTTCGTGAACTTGTTTTCATCTTTTTAGTTAGCTTTTATTTAGTCGGTTTTTTTTTATTTTTATAATAAATGTATTTTTTTACAGTTTTTTTAAGTATTTTTAAGTAGAAAAATTAGCGAGAATGGTTGTTGCCCAACTTTAAATCATTATATATCCTAAACTCTTATTTAAGAATGAAAAATGATGAAAGAAACCTAAAAATGATTTCTGAATACCTATTCAACGATACCCACTTGACATAGTTTATCCATTTTTCTTTTTTTCTTTTTCACATTATGGAATCTAGCAGCCCCCATATTTCATTTTTTTATGCCACCTATCTAAGAACACTTGGAGTAATGAGACGAATCTAACTACAACTTAATTAAAGAATTGAGTTGTTTGGAATATATCCTCATGTATTTATTTATTCACTCGAATAAAGAATATTACAAAGAAACATACAAAGATAGTCGCGAAAAACATAACCCTTTCCTAGCAGTCGGGTAAAAATAGCCTAATTTATTCCTTTTATTGTCAGTTACCTGCCAGTGAAAGTCCCGGAGATTAGCCGCCAACTAGAGTTTCGGAGATTAGCCGGAACGGAAGACAGACAGACAAAGAGACAGACAAAACTTTTAAAAATTATGTTTTTCTTATATAGTACCGTATATAATTTAATATACATTTAGTAAATAACTGTTATTTTGACATTGCAGAGAGACACTTCAATTTCATTTATCTGTATAGATAAACTAAATAAATAAAATTTTTGTTTCACTCTTCGACAGAATAACTTGAAAATATTTATTTAAATTGTAAAAAGAAAATACATAAAGCCATTATCACTAAGCCGTTTATTCATACTTTAATTATACCTGATTGCTGATTAAAATGTTAAATGCAAATGAGCATCGATCCAAATAAAGTGTTTGTTGATATGCCGTTCTTTCATCCAGCAATGCAGACTTCCCAACGTGCGTTTAGCATAGAGTATTGAATATTCACAAAATGCTAAAAAAATATTTAATAAAATTAGTGTGTGTTATATTATAATACAAGCACTGCCCGCGGCTTCGCCCGCGTTCAGATAACCAAAAACCAAATTCTTAGGTTTTACTTATTAGTATACTCTTACATTGCAGTTTTTGTATTTTTTCTCAAAAATGAGATATTTTCCCGTAGTAAAAAGTATCCTATATGTTGACCCAGATAACCAGCTATTCCCCCCCCCCCCCCAACGTGCGTTCACCTTGTCGTGGTGGGGGGGCTCAGTAGTGCCCGGCAATCCAACCGGGCGCGAAGCTAAGAAACGCACAGGGAGGTTGCCCACTTCGGTGGGCGGTGGGAGGCGGCCCTCTTCGGGGGGTGGTGTACCTTGCGGGTTGCTCCTGGTACTTCTCTGATAGCAGAGTGGACCTTGGAGCAACCCCATGGTTGTGGTGGTCTGCTTCGGCAGACCTGCCGCCGGGGCGTCGTAGTTGAATGCGTAAGCGATCCTGCGACGCCCCATTAAGACGGGGGAAGGTTTTTGTTGGGTTTTAGTGGGTAGTACTGGCTGTATTACGCCGGTGAGTCCCACACGTCGTGCGTAAATGCATTTCCCAACGTTAAAAAAAAAAAAAAATAACCAGCTATTACTATACCAAATATCATCAAAATCCCTCCAGTGGTTTTTCCGTGATGCGGTAACAGACAGACAGACAAAAATTCTAAAAACTATAGATTCGGACTTTGTATCGATAATAATGTTTATTTCAAAAGATTTTCCAAAAAATATCTAATGTACAGATTTGGCTTAGTAAAAATTTTATTATATGTATAGATTGTGAATAATTAATAAAATTTAAGGGAACTTCACTTATTAATCACTGATTTTCGCGCATAATCACATCCCGCTTTCTACGTGCATCTTATAGGATTTTTTTGGGAACGAAGTTCCTTATAGCACGATATATGAGGCATATTGGAGAATGAGAACTAGACGGACAAAAGTGTAATATTTCAAAAATCACGATCTTTTTATTAAGAAGACTCTATTTGCTAAGATGGTGATGATAGTGTTCTCTTAACCGGTATCCGCCTCAATAGCCAATATCAATGAGACTAGCCAATTACACAGGAGATATTATAGTGTACAAGTTGACATGCAAACACATGTGTCCTTTCTATTCCTGTCGCTCTTATAATCTAGCGGGAAGACAATTATTACGAGTCTATCTCAGAAGTAGGTCAGGTAGACCAAGTAAAATTCAATGTAACGGCACCCAGTTTTTATTATTTTATACAGAGTCAAAGTAACGCCTCAAACGACATTACAAAAAGGAATGACGTATCACGCATTATTTTAAAAGTCATGAAACAAAATACAAAACTGCTCCCGTCCTTTTTCCACTCAATATGACAACGTCAGAAAACTTAAATAAGTATTTTATATCAGAATGACAACATAAAGAATAAAATAATGAATCTTCAATAATACATATGAGTCCTATTTTATATAATTAATAATTTATATTATTTTTAGTATAACACATTCATCATTCAACATGACCGGTAAGAGATCAGAAGCAGGACCGAGAGTTTTACGTACCTACTCTTCAAGGCACGGGAATGAAACGCCGTCAACTTCCAAACTCCAGCCTATTATTAAAAATTTCTTTGAGAGAAAAACTCAATAAATTTTGGCCAGATCTAAGACCAGAACTCGTCCTGGGTTCGAAATTCAGTTCTGCATTTAGCCACTAGACAACCGAGGTAGTTATTGGCATATAAGGGAAGTACACATAGAGTGATATCATATTTGAGATATTACATTGTAAAAAATTACAATTAATATGTATATTTAACACGGGGACAACTTGAACGGATATAAGTACATAATTAATCAAAAGCGGAACAGTTATATATGTATACTAGACAAACAAAAACAAATCTATCCCACGGGAAACGTACATTTTTCGGGGATAAAAAGTAGCCTATTTGTTATTATATTATTGTAAAGTTTCATTAAAATCCAATCAATAGTTTTAGTGTACTAAGCTGTAATAAGTTACTACAGTTTCTTAACTATCCCACGAGAACTCTTTAATATTCCGGGATGAAAAGTATCTAAAATGTTGAGCGGGGGATATAAAATACCACCATGCAAAATTTCATTTAAATTGTTCAAATAGTTTCGGAGATTAGCCCGTACAAGCAGACAACAGACAAGACAGAGAAACAAAAAAAATGGAAAAAAAATCTGGATTTGTTCTATTTCTCTTCTTACATCCTCCTGACTCGGTTTTTACCATTTTTTTCTATGTACAAACATTCGACTTCTACAGTTTTATAATATGTATAGATAAGTACTTTTAAATCGTCCAATCATCGTGGTGAAGGCGTCCTGCCCAACGTTCATCTAAACGCTGACGTCACTATCACACATGTTGGTTCCATTGGGCATTAAGGGCATGGTGACAAGATATTGGTAAGTTCAAATAGCTGGTAAAAGACATCATATGAATCGTATAAGCCAGAGAAACCTAAAATGTTGCTTGTTCGCATCATCTAATAGTTTGGTCAAGTGTAGATAAATGAATTTGCTTATCTTAGCCTAATTATATTATCATCAATAAGAGTTCCATTAACGACAACAGCGAGGATCTATCACTGTTCTTTTTGATTGTTTGTTAGTAATTTGACACTAAGTATTATTTTTCAAACAATAATAAATATAAATTTCATTATTATAAGAAAATATGATTTTCTATTCATAAAATAATTTTGGAGAGAAATGAGATGTGGGAGTCTCTTCAGATATCCAATTTTTAGTAACTATATACTTTAGAAAGATTATCTTAATCCTGCGCAAGGCCTATCTATGTATATATAAGTATTAGGTACTCAAAAATTATGACCATGGAAAGTTAAAAAATAAGAGATAAAGATACAACTTGTACGTTTTTATATTAGTGACAACTAAGTCTTATCAATACATGTAATAAAATTCTGAGTCGAATCTGTACATTAAATATTTTTTTTAAAAATCTTATTGAAATAGTCATTATTATCGATACAGAGACCAAATCTATAGTTTTTGTCTGTCTGTCTTGGAACGCATACCGCAAAAACTACTAGACAAATTTTGATGAAATTTAGTATGATGATAGCTGGTTATCCGGTTTAACATGTAGGATACTTTTTGCTGTGGAAAAATATCTCATTTCTTAGAAATCTATACTAACCGTTAAAATAGGGACGAACCCGAGTGGAGCGAGGGTGTGTTCCTAGTTAATATTATGGTGGTAAATTCTTAGTTTTTCCTTGACATAATCCATAAAAAATGAATAGCTTTTTATAGCCTTAGAGGACAAAAAACAACCACAACTTTTTTATATTATAATATAAAATGTTATTTAGTTTGAAACTTTCTTATAAGTACAAACATTTAAATTAATATTTGTAGCTTTAAGCTTATATATATAAGAGAAACATTACGCAATGAATTTCATTATCTTTTTATTCTTATATTTTAAAAAATAAATTACAAACTTAACACTAACTATTATTATGACTAGCAGGTACAATTTTATTTCTTTTCAGTGGTTTCTTTACTAATAGTTTTTTCTGAATCATTATTTCTTAATGGTAGGGGACCATGTTTCCAATCCTCAGGATAACCATGTTTCCTTACATCATCCCACCAAAGTTGTTCTCCTTTCGCGAAAATCAGGTAAATGATATTTGTAATAACTAAAATGGCAAGACAAACCCAAAACGCGACTCGCCATTGTTTAAGTGTTGACTGAAAAAAAAACAATTAACAACTTATTTCAATATCCATGTAATTTTAAGCTGTATCAAGTGTCAAAACTTTATCAACATAAAGATACTCTTTAAAGTGCTAGGTATTTTGAAACTATCTGTGACATCATCAAAACATTGATGATAATAAATGATAATGTCATGATAGTAAAATTTAACACACTTCAAGGAACTAACACATTGATCATTTCAAGTGTTTAGGGAATTTGCATTTGATATATTATCTCTAAGTATTGAAAAGCAAGAGAATAATCTTAATATTTCTAGCATGATTACCACTTGCCTTACGGTGAAGGAAAACATCGTGAGGAAACCTGCATGTCTGAGGGAACTTAACAAGTTTTCGAAAGATATGTGAAGTCCGCCAACCCGCACTTGGCTAGCGTGGTGGAATGGCCTGATCTCTCTCGTATTGAAGAGAGACTCGTGCCCAGCAGTGGGACGTTAAAAAGGGCTGATTACAATCTTAATATTATGTTTTGACATATAATATCAACAAGGCTACTTACATTTGGTGTCAATAAGCCAATCAAGTACGGTGAAATTATTCCAGAGATAGCAGCTATTCCGTTAACCATTGCAGTTGTAGTTCCCGCGTAATTAGGTGTAATATCTAGAGCATTTATTTTCATTCCACTGTAATAGGCACCCATAAGAGTCATAGCAGCAATAAACCAAAATACAGCCAATGTCGTATCACAACCTGAATACGAAGCTAGTATAATACAGATTCCTGGTCCGGTAGCGGCTGCAAAAAAAAATTTCATTATTAACTTGGTGTGTAATACATATACATATAATAAAAATTTAAATCAATAGTTGATTAAATAATCAATTAATTTCGAAGTCGGTCCTTTACTTTATATCGTCTGGCACCGACTTCGAAATTATTTGATTAGATATGTATAGTAAATGAAAATTACCAATCAGTAATTTTTTACTTTTTAGTGCTTTTGTTTGAAGTCGGTTTTTATATTTTTGTTAAAAAGTTTTTATTTTTCCCTTTTTCGTGTAGACAGTAGTAGCAAAGTAAGAAATCTAACGTAATTATGCTTGTCAAGTCAAACAAAATAAGCCCAAACTCAAAGTACTATTAGCCGTTGAAAAGTTCCACCTATCCACCTTTTGGCCTTACCATCAGATCAGGTCAACAATACCGAACCACTGTACTATCAACGGAAATAGAAACACTTGCAAAGTTTCAAGTCAATATGTAGGTTAAATTCATAATTAGTTATTTTTCCACCCTTAGGGGTAGTTTTATTTTTTGAAATTTAAATGCGACCAATCTGGAAGTATACACTTTCAAACAACACAAAAATTGTCCAAATCGGTTAATAAATGACGGAGTTCTGAGGTAACAAACATTAAAAAAATACAGTCGAATTGAGAACCTCCTCCTTTTTGAAGTCGGTTGAAAATAAATAATTACGATCTTACAATTAATTGTAAATTAAAAATAAATTGAAATGCTACATTACCTATTGTGGTATAAATCTTTCTGGCATTTGTAATACTATGATATCTTCTCTTAATGCAAAAATCACATAGAAGTCCAAAGAAGAATGATGCAATCCACATGGCTACATAGGGCATAGAAGAGAGTAATCCAGCAGATTTAATGTTGAACTTTAATACATCTGTCATATATTTAGGTAAATCGGTGACCATGGTAAAGTATCCCCAATCATGACCAATCTAAAATTAGTAAAAGTATGTTTATTTATAAAAAAATAATAAGAAAATATTTTCTTTTGTTACTTATTAATATAATGATTTAAGGCATTAAATAAAATTAATAGTAAAACGAAGTACTTACTCCAGCAATAATAAGGGACCAAAGAGGAACAGATCTAAGTAGCGCTTTCCACGGTACTGGATCTAAAACTTGTTTTTTACTGTGAATGAGAGCCTCAACATTGTCATTCAAGAATTTCTTTTCCTTATCAGATATGTATGGATGTGTATTTGGAGTACTATAACAAATGAATGACTGAAAAAAATATATGTTATAACATAACGATATTTTTATGGTCTTTTAATTTTTTTATAATTGTAATACTTTACCCAAATTATAAACCAAGCGAGACCAAATCCACCGAACATATAGAACACGTGTTCCCAAGATCCAGAATACATGATGAGTCCAGAAAAGTAGGAACCTGCTATATTACCAAGTTGCGCCCCACCAAATATGATCGCACCAAAGCGACCTCTTTCAGGTTTTGGTGCCCATTTAGAAGTCATCGCCATCAACGCTGGCATGGTAGGACCCTGTAATGAAAAAAAAACAAGTAAGATCTTGAAAAATGCGTTTGTTATATGTAAAGGCATCATCATTATTATAATAATCATAAAATAAAATAATTATATATCCTTTAGAGGACTTATTTTATCATACCTCAAAGAATTTGAGGGTAACTCTTAAGATTAAATAAGCTGTAAGCGTTTGAGACAAAAGTTCTAACATTTTACCTTATATAATATACAACATACCTCTCCAAATCCTTCCACAACACGTAGAATGAATAAGGCAGTAGCTCCTCCAGTTTTAACAGCAAATGGAGTAATGAACGTACATACAGCTGTAGATAGTAAACCTAAGCCCAACACCCATTTTCCACCATATCGTTCAGCTATCATTCCACCAGGAATATGGGTAATAACATAGCCATAATAAAAGGAACTCAGCAAAAGACCTTGTGTCGCTTCACTCCATTCAAAAAGTGCCTGTAAATAAAAATACCATCATAAAAAAATTACCTTATCCTTTATTTAAGAATAAATATTAATTGAGGAATAAATTGAAATAACTTAAAAAACCCACTACTTCTTGGAAAAATTTCTGTACAACAAAATTTCTATTTTTTGGATTGTATTTTTAGTGGCGTTAGTAAAAACACTGATTAAGTATAAAAATCATAAAAAATGAAAACAACATTAGTTCCTATAGAATCCCCTGGATTCATCGATGTAGAATTTTGGTGGTTTGGGGATTTAGAACTATGTGGCCCCACAATAAGTATTGCTTGCTTATTATTTATTCTTGTATGCATTAGCTACCGCTAGAGACAATTATAGTAATGTATGGACCATAGCAACGGTTAAACATTGTCACGTTTTCCTTCAAAATTTATTTTTAAATGCCTCTGAAATAATAGAACAAGGATGAGAGAAAGACAAGAAACAACGCGTGTATGATAATAGTATTTAGAGCATTTCTTTAAAGGAACCGAGAAAAACACCTGTTTGATGAACTACCTTGACTATTATCTATACAAAAGCTATAATGCTTTTCAAATAACCTAACAATAACACAATTGCAAATCAGACTGTGTAAATATCCATAATTTGATTCCATTTTTATGTACTACTTTAGAGCCTCTCAATAGAGACTTAAATGAATATATTTTTAATAAAAATATGGTACCACATAAATAATATAACATGATTTTTTTAGATTAGTCTACTTAAATAAAGTTTAAAATACTTCAAAAGCGTGCAATATTTACAATAATAGCATTAAAGAAGATTTAGATAACTAATACTAACACTCAACACGCTACCTACACTCATCATAGTCGTACCTACTCTTCAATAGCGAAAAATTTTGAAATTACTAACGGCTCACCTTCGCTTCGCTCGGATCGTCCCTGGTGAAAAACAAAACAAATCTATCGCACGGAAACCGTACATTTTTTCGGGATAAAAAGTAGCCTATGTGCTATTCCAGACTATAATCTATCTCTGTGCCAAATTTCATTCAGATAGATCCATTCAGCAGTTCTAGCGTGATTGAGTAACAAACAAACATCCATCCATCCAAACTTTCGCATTTATATAAAAGTAACATTACCAATAGGTTACTTGTATACTTTACTTGTGTATTTAACAAATTTTATTAATTTTTATTGAAATCAAACCAAGAAGGTATATTTTATATGATCTTAAAAAATAATGAATTCATAAATAAGCTGCTGATCAATTATAATATTTAAGTCATCCCTAATAGGATTGAGTCCACATCGTCAGTACTTTTAGAAGGAATAATAATAGAAACAGACTGGAATACTTACATCACTATCTCTAGTAAGATAATCAGTCATGGTCACTGTAGTATTAACTTTTGCACTAGGATCTGGACAGGCGTTAGGGTCGTAATGCGCGTCGCCTTCAACCGCCACATGCTTTTTAACCATTTGAGTTATGGCCAAATTTAAACAGACACGCATCGTATAGGCATTCGCTATCGCCAATAGAGCCATTATAGCAAATACATACCGTTGTGGTATTATAAAGACTGAAATAAAGAAAATAAGATTACTGAACTAAATGTATAAAACTTATTACTATTTCGAAAGCGTTCATTAATTTAATATTTCCAACATCTTAAATATCTAAAACATATTTTTTTACACTTTATTTTACACTTATTTTATTATATCTTCCCTTCCAAATAAAATATCTATTATATATTATCTATGTTGAATACAAGAAACGATAGAAATATTTGAAGTAGGAGATCTTCCTTCAAGGACGTAAGCTAAAGAAGTGTGATGTAAAAAGTTTTTTCAGTGCTCATACAAATACAACCCTTGAATATTCATTTTATGTAGTGGTTTACTTTTTTTTTTTTTTAATTTAAATATATAAATGAATACACCTTTATTCGCTACAATTTAATCAACGTGAAAATAACACAGATAAAATAACTGGTTTTTAATATAAAATATTTGTTAACCTCTCAATGTCAATTAAAAAAGCGTTAAGTGTATAAAAAACATTTTTATAATACTTTTTTACTATAAATAAATGTTGCTAGATCATTAATACACAGCACCATCTAGTTCCATGGTAAGCTACGAGGCTTGTGTTATGGATACCAGATAGTTGATACACTACACATATATAACTTTAAATACATACATATTATAAATATAAACACCCATGACTGAAGTACAAACATTCGTGCTCATCACACAATGAATGCCCCCAGCGGGACTCGAATCCGCGACCGCTGGCACAGCAAGTAGGGTCACTACACACTGAGCCAAACGTGTCGTCATACACTTATTATTCTACACAAACAGAAGTTAAACGGATATTCAATGTATGTATTATATATACACGACAAAATATTTATGATCCTAAAACCACTAACATTTGGTAGTGCATAGGTACGTATTGTTATACATAGTAAAAATTGCACGAATTAAATTACACATGACTACATGACTGTATAGTAGAGATGCTTCTATTATTATTAAATATTCTAGCATTGTACTAGTTTTTTTTTTGCGTTGATAAGAATTTCAAACATTATCACTTTTACTTCTACAATAATAAAAGATTAGTTGTATAATGTATTAATATACGTATTTCTGTATGTATGTATGTATTCAGCCCTTTGTAACGTCTCACTGCTGGGCACGGGCCATCCTTCAATACGAGGGGAATCAGGCCATAGTCCACCGCGCTGGCCAAATTCGGGATGGCAGACGTCACATATCTTTCGAAAACTTGCTAGGTTTTCTCAGACATGCAGGTTTCCTCACAGTGTTTTCCTTCACCGTAAGACAAGTGATAATCAAGTTAGAAATGATTGGCACATAAAAATATCAGAGTGAGACCCGGGATTTGAACCCGCTTCACTCGGTTTCCCAAGCGAGCTCGTTAACACTTACGTATTTCTACAAATAATATTTTACAACAATTACCACCTTCATTTCCGAATATAATAATATATAATAGTAAGATCTGTATCCATATTTAAAAAAAACACATAAATTAATAGTACAATACTTTGATTGAAATTATACTTACGTTTTGATAGAGCAAGGCGCCATCCTGTCAACATATTGTAGTGGAACCTAGAATTAACAAAGTTCACTTTAGCACCGGCTACAACTGCCATAGCATTGAATCGTATAATTTACGAGCACTACGTTCAGTTTCTTTAATACGACTATTTGTCGGTGAAGTTAATCAGGAAAAGGTATTGCAAACTTATACTACCACTGACAAATTATACATCCTAAAAAACAAAATTGTTCACGCTATTATAGTCGATAACTCTTTCTCGTAAGGACGTAATTCGTATAAATAATTGTAGAGAAGCCATGAGAGATTTTATTTGACGCTATCTTCATTGCCACTACCGGGATCCCACCGGAAAGATTAATTTTCAGTACTTAACACTTTAGTTACGGGATTTTTTTTATTCTTTTTTAATAGTATATTTTTTCAAGTAATAATATTATTACAAAGCTAAATTATATATTAAGAAAATATAATTTACACTAAGTAAAAAAAGGGCTAGAATAGTAAGTTTATTTAGTTAAATGTCGCAATCCCTATAAATATTCATTTTAAAATATCTTTACACTACGAAAATAAAAGTTTTTTTTAAACCAAAATATTAACAATGACTAATTTCATAAGAATTAATTTATTTTTGACTAACTTCAAAAAGGGAGGCAGTATTAAATGCGGGTGTGTTTTTGTATATAAATGTAAGGTTATCCGAACTGAAGATATTTAGAATTTAGAAAGTTACTAAAATTCTGTTGTTGGTTTTATTTACTAATAACACTTAGCATTTTATTCTCGTTACTTTTAACAGATTGTGAGTATTGCATTAGTGTTTTACAATAATATATTATATTATACAAACGAACAGACATACAAGACGAAATTTGAAGGGTTTCGTTTTAGATTTTTGACTTAGGAACCTCAACTTTACCCTACCAAAACCAGCTTAAGGAATATTTTTATAATTTTTGCTCTTTCTTATATTTTAAACAAATATGTAGAATTGAAAAACCATAAGACATTATTATCAATTGTAATATTTCCGTTTAATTTTAGTATAAATAAACGCTTTTTACATATTTGACTATATAATCGTAACAATCTTATCGCGTGTTCTGTTTATTTTAAAGGCACGTTTTCTTTGACACATGACGAATAATAAAAACGAACATTGTATACTTTAATTTAAAAAAAAATTACGAAGTAAAATTAAAATTTACTGATGTGCAAAGTAAGAAATGAATGAAAAATGTTATTAAATAATCCTTAATATTTTCGCACAGTTTAGTATAAATCAGTAACATATGTTAATTAATTTTAACAAATCGTAGGTATACATTAAAAAAATAAACAGGCTTAAAAAGAGAGAAAGAAAAAGAGAAGGATAAAATCGTAAGAGTTAGGTACTTGATTAAAGAAAAGTAGTATTCTGTCTGATAATAGTGAAAATTTTTTAAATATTTATTTTTTTTTTTTAAATAAATATTTTATTAATAAGATTTAAAATATTTATATATTGCTTAATTGGTTGGCCCCAACAATTAACCATTTAACAGGACGAGGAAAAACAAAAGATAAAATAAAAAATTCGATCCGCGTAACAATTGTGAAACCAACTATGTCCTCAAGTTATTTAAACACCAACAAGAACCAATTGTGAAAATATGTTATTAAATTATAAAACCCAAAATCAAATGAAAAATGACTTACCTCTAGTATTTTGTTTTTTTATTTCTTAAATATATTTTTTAAAGTTTTATGTTAAAATTTAAGAAAAATTAAATGACACTGTGGCGAATTTGAGATGTTTCACATCTGTAAGTAAAGTTGCAAGTAAATGTAATAATGATATATTGTGATATCGCGTTGATTGACGTTATCAACTTCATTGGGAACCTTAGTACGTATATACTATATAGGCTGCACTAATATTCTTATATTATATATGTCAGAAAATAATTTTAAAAAAGTTATAAAAAACTTAACACGCAATAAATTGTATATTATTTTCGACGATTCGGAGAAACTGGTTTTCTAGAAAAAATAATATATACAACATTATTAATAATATCGTTCGCATAATTCAATAATTATTTAAATTAAGAATTAGCTCGTATCCTATCTGCGACTAAATAAATAGCACACTCCAATTTACGGTCCATACTATCATTTTTTGCCGTATCATTCTAAACGGTCTGTCTATATTTTAGAATCTTAAGTCAAAAATTGAGGCATATTATATACTAGCAGAACCCGCGGCTTTGCCCGCGATCAAACTACGTAAGTTTAATTGCAGATGTGCCAACCTTCCGAAGGAGGATATAGATAGCAGGATAGGCTAGCTAGGTTCTCTCTGGCGCCGTCTAGGTCTGTTATAGTAGTAGCTGCTGTGGCCAGCCGAAAAGCTATACATAATTTCCAAGTAGATAATTCTGATCATAAATAATTGTTTTTACCCTTGTAAGGGATGAATTTCAAAAAATATTATATGTATGTATTTCTTATTTTTTTACATCTAAAACCTAAACACCACTTTCCGTGCATTTCGCGCTTAGAATGACAGACTTTCATACAATCTTTTACCCCCTATTTTACCCCCTTAAGGGACGAATTTCGAAAAATCCTTTCTTAGCAGATTCTTACATTATATAAGGAATATTCCTCCAAATTTCACGTTTCTACGACCAGCGGTTTAGGCTGTGCGTTGATCGATCAGTCATTCAGGACAAAGCATTTTATGTATATATAGATACAGATAAGTTTGTACTCCAGTCATGGGCGTCTATATTTGTAATATATGTATATTTAAAGTTATGTAATATGTGTAGTGTATCAACTATCTAGTATCAATAACACAAGCCTCGTAGCTTACCATATTTATTCGATGTTTCGTTACATACTGAATGAAAGAAAGATAAGACATCAAACGTACTGTCGCATTTGTAATATTAGTAGGAGCAGCCACAAAATTACTTATTTTATAGTTATATTGTAACTTTATCTGTACAGTTCACTTTGACCTTTCGTTTATAGGATAGCATGGATCTTAAATGTCTACTTAATCTTATTTAGTTTTTGTCCGCAGCTTTACGCCTGGAAGTTCATATATATTAGTGACATTAATTCATGTATAGAGTAGTTTATATTATAAATTAGCCGTTATAGAATGAACAAGTAACAAACATACTGAGTTACACGCTCAACTCACTCAACACTCACTCGTTCACATGCTTTAAAAACTGTCGCATTTTACAACAGTATACCTATTCCCTGCTGAAGTGTTATATTTTTTCAGTACCGTCGAGCTGAAAACCGAACTTATTCCATTAATAGATAATCTCAAATTAAGGCTCATTTAATTTGTTTTAACGAATCCTAAATATCATCGTTCGTTATAAGTGTATAATTTAAGGTTTTTAATACTAATATTTAATTAAAAAAATGATCAGACAGTTAAAAACCACAGTTAAAAGTATGACCTACAAGTGTGTCAGTATAACGGAAGCATTCTTTTAGACGTCCCATCTATATTTATACAATTTATTCTTTGTTTCTCAGATAATTCTCCTTAAAATTAATATTATTTTTAAGGAAGAATGAATTAAGATAACATAAAAATTTCACTGTTAATTTAAAAATTATAGTTACCTTGTTATTGCCTATACAGAGGAATGATTATACAAGAATGGCTATAGAAAGAATTAACAATTGATTTAACCAATATTGTAAATATTAACATATGGTTTAGATATCTATCGTATAATTCTAAAACGTCTGCATTTGAAGTTACACACACAATAAAATGATAAAGTCACATAATAAAAATATATAACCAAGGTTACGACAATTCCTCGCAAAAATTCTCCCGCAAGCTTTTTTATAACTTGAATTTTCGATGGAAATAATAGTTCTCTATTATAAAAACTGGATTAATGTTAATATTTTCGAATTCTCGGCCTTTTATAATGATGCTGTCACTAAAACAGGTACCTGAAATTTGTAAGCTAATAAGTCTAGATTTCTTGTAATTATGTGCTTATAATCGAAATAAACGTCTTCAATAATCTATTTATTTCGATTGATATTTTCATAGATTTCCCTCCTTTTACTGTACTTTTATTTTAAAATATTTTCTTAAATACCAAAAATCTAATTCTGGTTTATAATATGACATGAATAAAAAGTTAAAACTAATAATAATACATTAAATCAATTATAGGTTTCGTCTAGAAGAATTTATATCGAAATATTGCTTGAATATAATCGGTTTTCCGAAGAACGTCATGCTCTTTGATCCATCACCGCTCGTGCCAGAATGTCGTGTCACAGGATTATGATATTGAAATTAATAGAGACTGCACTTATAATATTTGTACTTTCGAATAATACAAAGAGATAACTTAGTCGATGGTAGACAACATATTTCATTTAGTTTATTGCTCTAATCTGTGAGTTAATATTTATTATTTACCAATATTATAATTTTAATAATACTTATATTTTCTGAAACAGCTAGCTATATACATATAATATATTCATTTTTAAGGGTCTTATGCAAGAAAAGGCAAAATTAAACGTCTTTTTACGCCTGTTCATCTGCCACCCTTTTTCTCAGAAACGCGTGAAGGTACCAAGTAGAAATAAATACTAAGTACTTAGGAATATGGTACCTTGCAGCTTCAAAAATTCGTGTAATTTATATTTTGACACTGTTAGTGAAGTAAAGAAAAAAAAATTGTAATCCTTTATATTACTAACTGGATGGACTGAAGAACGGTTTATTCCTTAATATAGTATAAACCTTCTGTTAGATGAACACGACCAACAGTTAAGAAATTTAATTTATAATAATTAATTTTCTTATAAACTAAATTTCTTATAAACTAAATATTGACTTTTTTAAGTGCAATAAAGAATAGTAATAATAATAATAATAATATAAGGGCAGAATAAATAAGAAGCCTTACCCAAAAGCTGTTTTCACATTTACCAATAATATTATTTTATAATTTTAATAAAGCACTAAACTAGCCATGAAGAACAATTTATACAGCCACTAGGAATATATTCGACCACAGCGGCCAATCTCACTGAGACTAGCCA